TATTTTGGGAGTCGGACTGGCAGTTTCAGCACAGGGCTCCAAAAAAAGGGATCTGTTTTCTTTTCGTTCCTTTCAGACATGAAGTCATGTAATGACTTCAGCTCTAGACAGTGTCAGCTGTGGTAACTGCAGTGAATAGTTCCCCTTTTTTTTTTGTTTCTTAATGATCCACTTGGAAACGGGGAGGTGTTTTGTAAAAGTGACCCATCTTTGATCTGTATTGATTGCCATGTGATATTGGTGTATTTCACTGCAACTGCTGCCTTATGCCGAGAAGTTCATACTTCAAATCTTCTTTTAAATCTGTTTGACCTGCTCTTGTGCTCTGATCCAGCTACACCATCTGCCTCTTTTCTGTTGCTCCCCAGTGTCTAAGTGTAATTGAATTGGTAAACACCTTTAATTGATTCTTTGCTGTGGGGGTGGTGAGACCCTGGCATGGGGGTCTCACAGACTCTAAAGCTGTGGATGCCCCATCCCTGGAAGTGTTCAAGTCTGGGTTGGACAGGGCATGGAGCAACCTCATCTAATGGAAGGTGTTCTTACCCATGGCAGAGGTTTGGAACTAAGTGGTCTTTGAGGTGTCTTCCAACTCAAACCATTCTAGGATTCTGCAACACCTTCATCCACCTTGCTAGCAAATGCACAGATAATCTGCTGCTCCTACTGGGGTTATTTCTGTGTAATTATTCTCTTTGCTGTGGCTGGCAGTGAGATCAACCCACCCATGCAGTGGACTCTGCAACAGCACTGCCTTCCCGTCCTGTTTGTGAGAACAGCCTCTCTAGAATTTTCTCAGGAAACAACCAGCAGCAGGAAAATCATCCCAGCTCTCGTGCTCTTTATGGGATTTGCTCACTGCCATTTCAATGGTCAGAGACTGTAGTCTTCCAGGGATCTGTTGTTGTAGCTTGATGAATGACAGCCTGGGATACAGAAAAGATGGGCTGGACATCTTGAGGGGTGGCTCATTTTGGTTAAGTCACTTTGGGCTAATCACATGGAGGTGTGCAAAACAAGGATAATGGTCTGGCTCACCTTTGCAAAGAGCTTAGAGAACTCATCTGACACTGCCTTTTTCTGCCAGCCACCAGCTCCAGCAAAGGTTCAAGACCTCCCTCAGGACTCTGCCAACAGGAATTTTACTGGTCTATTAGGAAGCACAGCAATATATTGCAGGGCTCTTCCTTATTCTTTTGTCTGTCCCAGTGATGCTCAGCAGTTGTACACAAGTTACCACAACATCATCTTGCCATCATTAGGTTGCTGTATGTAATCACCACTTAGTGTGTTCACTGAGTCAGCTCTTCCCTGGCTTCCACAGCAGAGCTGACTGATCAAAACTGAAATGATCCTGCAAAAAAATCTAGAAAGCTGAGATTTCTTTTCTGCCCAAATTCCCTTCTGCATTGTTTTTATTTTTATCTGTTAGTGCTATAAGTAGTAAATTTTCTGAGGTCATGAGCTGTTACTGCTTGAAGACAAGCTGCTAATGATGCTGCATACAAAGAGGTGATGGAAAGATGGGCTTAGAGGAGCAATGGGATCCCAAACAACTTCTCTGTAGCTGGAAAAAGGATTCCATTAGAGACTAGACCTTTAAGTTAGTGTCTCAATCCCTGTTAGACCTCTCCATGGAAGTTCCAACTCTGATGTCTGTAGGAGACAATGTGTATAAAGCAAGGGTGGTTATTTCTTTAAGGCCTCCTTGCACTGCTCCTCTCTTGATATTCCTGCTGATGCAGATTTTCCTCTCTTGCTGAATTTCAGTGCACCTGCTCATATAAACTAGGCTGTGCAAGGTTTTCTCAAGCTGAGTTTGTGTATGGTAACAGAAGCAGCACCCAAAAGCATATTCCTAGGCTGAGAGGAGTCATTAGTATGCAAGGTGAAGCCTGGCTTAAGCAGCTCCATAGATGACCCACAGAAACTAATCATAAAGTGAAGATGTGCATTTAAAGGTCAAGTCACCTGACAGGAAACTGCAGCGATATTTTAGAGAGGTAGCCGTAGAACAGGAGGCTTTCCTATCAGATCTGGGTATTCACTCTGCCTGTGTATCATTATTATTGTCTTATATACTCAGTACAAGCCTACCTATCTACCTATGCATGCTAAAGGCATTGCACTCAAATTCAATATCACACAAGACAAGCTGACTTGGAATGTGAATTACCTCGTTATGTTCTGCTTGAGCCTCCAGGACAAGCTGCCTTGTCTTCACTGCTTTAACCTGAGATAGCTAACATGGGTTAGTCAGCCTGCATTAAGAACACAGATTTTCTTTCCTTTTTTTTTTTTTAAACCCTTTCTTTGTGTAACCAGAAGGACTTCGAAATGGATAGGAAGACCTTTCTGGTCAAGTTTCAGGAAGCCAGAGTGTGCCAGGTGGGAACTGGTTAGACAGAGCTGTGGAGGAAGCTGGCAAATGGATGGAAACCCCTGAGAGTTTGGGGGCAGCAATGTCCACTGAGCCTGTGCATACTTCCAGCTTGTTGTAGCTGTGGTGAAAAACACAGTCTTGTGAAGTGTTTCTGTGACAGCTTGTTTTGCCTGGAGCTGGGAGGCAGTTGGTCAGAAGGACAGGTGCAGCTGAATTTATATCTAACTTCTAGAACAAAGACAGGGTCCCTGTCAGGATCTTCTTCCTCTCAGCTTTCTGTGTGGGAAACCTCCCAAAATGCACCTCCTGGCATGTGGCTGATGATATTCTGTGTTCTTGGCTGTTGCCCGTGGCTCGGGGGCTGTTCCACAGTCCCTAATCTTCCCAGTGAATGTATTCAAGTGGGGCTCAAGGGGTTTGGGCAAGGCCAGTGCCATTCAACTACAAGCTGAAGTGCTCCCCAGGCCTTGTGAATGGCCAAACTAACTGTGGTGAGGTTCCAAGTTGTATTGCAGGGAAGGCAGGGTTCCTTGGAGTCTGGGTGGGGGCTAATCAATGTACATTCATCATTAATTTATGCATGCAAGGGGGTTTTGGAGTGGAGCTGTCATGCTGGTTTTGATAATGCTAACTCTATCCACCCTGCCAGCTGCTGCAATGTGGTGGCAGTTTGTGTTGCTGCATGCAGAATTATGGTGCTTTTGTGGGAATATTATGTTCCCTGAATAGAGCCCCACAGAGCAATTTGCTTCATCCTTACAAACCCATCCAAATAACTGGCAGTGCCTTACAAATACAAAACAATTGAGAAAATAAATGTATTATACTGTACATCTGTGACAAAACAATGCTTTCATGTGCAAAGAGAGAAATGTGTTTGTTTAACTTACGGTCTCCCATTTGGAAATAAATGCATTCATTTAAATCAAAATGGGACGTTCTTCACTATTACAGTATTTTGCATGCCAGATGTAAGAAATATGCTGCTTGAGGAGCTGACAAAAAACTTGGAGTGGTTGATCTTACCAAAAGCATGTACGTGGTGCCTTATTCTAGACCCTGCCTCTCTTCCTGCAGCGTGTCCTCTACACTGGAGTGGAATCTCCTGGCTTTGTGTGTGGAGGATCTGCGTACAAAAGCTTTGGGAATGTGGCACTCTGGTGCCCTGTGTGTACACAGGAGAGCCTGCTTTTCACCTGGGTGGTGCTCAGAAGAGAGTGCAATCAGCTGCCACACATCAGAAGTTTGCTTTGCCATAACCATGAGACAGATTCCCTGCAGGAAGTTGTAGCAGTCCAAAAGATTTTTGATCCGTTACAGTTTTTATGTTAAAGAAGCATTAGTTTTCATTTATATGCAGCAATAGAAGTGTTAGATGGGGAAACATAATAAAAAAATACAGGTTGAATGTTCCAATATTTGTTTAAAAAATGTGCCCCATCTTGTAATTTTCATCTTTTTAAATGGTTGAGTTCTTGTAATGAAAGTCTGCTGCATTTCAGTTTACACATAAGCTTAACATCATCAAGTAAAGTTTGTTCTGGGAGTTAACATTTACATTTTTAAAGCAGCAGCCTAATCCAGAGCAAAACCAGATGAGAATGTACTTTAACATAGCACATTACCAGCTGTCTACTGGTATGTGTGAGAATTGTCAAAAAAGTGCTGAAATTTGATTTGGGTGGTTTTCCAAGAGTCTGCAGTTTTGTCCAATTAAGTTTGAAGATCACTGCTACCAGTAGCAGGAATTGTAAACTGGAATTCCACTACAGCGTGATTATTAGAAGAAAAAATAGCAAGGAAAACCCCCCATACCTCTGAGCTTTTCCAACCTAATTTTTTAATAATAATAATGTTCAGACCACCTTCTATGCTCATCATTCTTCCTTGACTGAAATAACTTCTCACATTATAGATGAGAAGGAAAGAATTAGGACTTTTAGCCCGCTGCCAGTGTTGGCTGACACACACTGCTCTGTAATGGTATTTTTCATGCGTAGCATCAGGTCCAGGCAAGCATTTGATTGTATTTGTGCTTTAGTTGCTGGAGGGCCACAAGTGCTGAGAGTCCCAATTCAGCAAGTCTGGCATTAATAAATACTCTTTAATTCAGCTGGAAAGCATCATGGGCTGCATCTTCCCCACCTGAAGGGTTATATCCATCTTACTGCTGTATCCAGCCAGCCAGAGGACTTGTTGTACCCAGCAGGAAACATGTCACCTTTCTGAAAGCCAGCACCTGTGTATTGACTGATTGACCAACAGGGCTGTGCAGCAAGGGTAGTTTGGCCTAGCTCTGTTTTTTCTCTGGATTGATTAATCAAATACTTCAAATAATTGCTGTAGTTGTGATTAATGTCAACTGCATAGCTAATTGCCCAGGAGAATAAAACGGCTCTTTCTATTTAAAAAAAACCCAAACCACCTGTAAATGAGTTAATTATTTA